CAGCTATTTTTATGCTTTCAACTCACAGTATTTACAGCTCAATGACAGACAAACTTGCCAAAAGTGGGGGTGGTGGTATATCCCAGAGTGGGTTGGGGGACTGAGGAGCCACTCAAAAGCTACGGCAAAGGTCCAGGATCCTAGGCATGCCTGCTGCTGTTGCCTTCTTTTACATCTGCATGGTGGTTTACCTTTGGCTACCTGTCACGTCTAGGAGTTTTCTGAATGCTAACTGACAGCACTAGCTGTCACCAGCTAGTTGAAAAGATCAGAGCGTATAAACTTCAGGCTCTTCCTGAGAACTGGAGAAGCAAGAATGTACAGTGCTCCCAGCTTGGTGTTTCTACCTCTTCCTGAAGGTCACTGTTGGTGGGAGGCAGGATCCTGGGAACATCCAAAGCAAACTCACATTACATAAATGTGATCCTTAGCTGAGAAAAAGTAAGCGACACAAGTGTCAGTGTGAAATCTGTATTTATTTTGAAGTATAAAATGAATAGAGTTGTAAGACATCAAAGCTTTACAGTGATGTAGGTGCAGCTTTCTATTACTTTTTTAGCTTTTGTCTGCTTGCTAGAAATATCAGAATCAGATTTTCACTTATAGTGGGCTTATACTTCTTTCTGAGGGTTCATCTGGCTTAGACCTTGACTGAGGTCTTTCTCATGTTGCCAGAGTGTGCATATATTGCAGCTGTTTGCCAGTTTTTAGCAGTACATTGTTAGTACATCACTAAATGGTGTGTATGCAGATCCTTACAGGCATTGTGTCATCTGAGAACATTATTGCTGGGGGAAGGAAAACTGAGAACCTGCTGCAGGGAGGACTGGAGGTAAAAGGAAGAAAAAAAAAAAAGCACTTTTTAAGTTGGTGTGAGTGGGTTGTTCTATCTGCTCATTAATTTGAGTTTAAAGAATACATTCATTTTTGGAGATAAAACTAAGGATGCAGTTTTGTGTTACAGTTAAGCTGATCCAAAGCTTAGCCTTTGTCAAGATTGGTGTAGTGTCTCTCTCTCTCTTCCCAACTGTGTTCACCAGCCACAAGCTCTGGTGCTCATCCCACCTGTTGGTAATGCTGTGTAGTACATTGAATCGGGTCACCAGATGAATGTCAGAACTGGTTTTAAGGAGGCTAAGAGCATGTGTGGCTGGGAGAAGAACAGGAGAAGGTGAACTGGGAGAGATCCTTTTGGTGGAAGCAAGCTTTAAGCCCTAGCACCTTACAGGTCTGATACTAACTTTGCACAGGCAAAATTTGGTGTGCTCCTGGAATTTAAATGTCAAATATTATCTGTGGCAGGGTTAGAACTTAGCTTGAGAGTGGTTCACTCTTCTGTATTTTTCTTCTAGCACAGAATGGGAATTTGAAAAAGCTGCTGCTTATATGCTGTCTTGGCTTTTGAGAATAGAAAAGTAAAAGAAGAGAAAGTTAATGAATTTGTTTGAAATAGTAAGTAATGATAACTGGCATTCAAATACAAGTATTGCATTCTCTCCCCACCAGGCCTCAGAACTAGCAGCAATATCTGTGCAAGCCATATGTGCACCTGATGTTACTTTTTATTTCTCTCCGAGGGTTAAAATGTTAATGCAGTACCTTGAGGAAGAATACATTCTCACTGTCTGTGTCTCATTTCACACTTGAAAGTCAAAGGATGTAAGGCTCAATAGATGTCTCATGGACAGATTCTGAAAATTTGGCCTGATGTTTTCCAAACCAGAAATCTGTGGCAAATACCTAGGTCCTGTTGATAAAGGTCATCTTTCTGCCAACAGCACTGATGCAAATTCCAGGGTAATTTTTGTGCATGACACTGAATGTTGGACCTGAGTTGGTGTGGGTTGATCCTATTTTCTGGAGTGGTCAAGCAACTGAACCTGTTGTTGGTAATCCTACCTCTGCCGTGTAACGGACCTTCCCTTCTGCCCTGGTGATTTCCAAGGTAACTGTCAAAGTTACTCATCAGGCCTTACTTGTTCTTACAGTGCATTGACATTTCTGTCCATGTGATCATTGATCAGACTTTCAGATCTCTTACCAGTACATCAGAATCCAATAAAACAAATTAAACTTTTGTTTAACTTTTTGATGATTGTCAACATCTGGCAGTAGTGTCAGTGTTTCATAGAAGACAAGTTGCTCTTGGTCTTTACTCATCTATCAGAATCCGTATTTTGCAAAGAGGTACTCCACAAGTGCTTGCTTGTGTGTTGAAGATACCCTCCAACCTGGGCCCCTTGGAGTTTGTCTTCTTACAGCATGTAGGGCTGAGTCCTTTTTGGAGTATTCTGGCCCATCTTTTTCCGTTTTGGATAATTGCTCCTTCTTTCAGAACACTAAATAGCTGTGTTGGACAGATTTGATGCTGTAGGACAAAATTTTAAGATATCTTGCTCAGCAAAGAACAGATTTATTTACCTCCCATTGAGCCAATCAGGTGTCTTTCTTTCCAAGCTGTTCACGTGGGAAGAAAGGTATATCTGTATACATGTCTGCAGCTCTGCAATAATACATTAGGAGGATCAAATGTTCATCAAGATGGAGTTGTCAATTATAACAACAGAGGATTGGTTATATCATCAGATTGCCAAAACTGCCAATATATTTAATGTATTTCAGCTGTTCAGTGCCTCTGTTTTTTCAGTTCTTAAAGTTTTCTTCATCAGAACTCAGGCAACATCTTAGGGCTGTTTTGGCAATACTTGGGTATTGGTGAGTCAGCTGGACAGAGCAACCAGCTCTCATTTCCCAGGCCTTGTACACTAGTGAGCTTCTAGCTCGGAGGCCCTGGTTGGCAAAGTAATAGCAGTCTTTGACCTCTGTAGCTGAATCTTGTCATTTCAACCATCCAGACAGTGTATTGCTCGCCAGAAGAAGTAGGACTCAGTCTGGCACCGGATAGTTGTTCTTTAGTTATTACAGTAATTATGGGACCCGTCTGCACAGAGTGTCAGGCCTGATTCAATGTGCAGTTGTGTGTTGCTGCTGAAAGGAGAGGTCTGGACAGTGTGTTTCTTTCTCCCCTCCTTCGTCCTGGCTTTAGCACTCTTGTGGTCTGCCAGGTCAGCTTCCCGAGGCAGCTCTTTGCAGCGTCACAACTGCTTATGCTCACGCAAAAGCAGACTCATCTATTTATGCAGTAATTTGACCTTATTGGCCAAAGTTCATTGTGAAACTGAACCCTTTACCTGACTTTTACAAATCCTAAATTTAAGAGGAGAGTTTGTGTTCTGTATACATTGGTAATTTAGGAATAATGTGATTACAGAGCTTTATGTTATCATCAGAGGTATTTTTGTTACCCACAGGAACTTTAGAGTTTGGATTCTTTTCTGAGTGAAGGTTGAACATTTCAAAATAAGGAGAGTACTGTTCAAGGTGCTCAGAAATGGCACTGATGCCATCTAGCATCACTATTTAGTAAACATGTGAAATTGTGTATATTAGTTTTTAGTTTGTTACTTAAAAATATGTTAGATTGTTTTGTTCCTCTCATGCAGCTTATGGCAGAGCTAAAGTAATGCTTTTTAAATTTGGTTGAACACCACTTTTCTACAGATATTAACTTCATTATTAGAGACTTTTTCCCCTGTGGTTGTTATTCCTGCCTTGCTTTATCAAATGGTGTGGATACCTCTCAAACCAATTGGAGATGAGAAATTTTTGTTGGGGGGGGCAGAATATGCAATGGACACTGTTCCAATAGTGTTTAGAGTATTCACCGTCTCATTTTTGTAATGTCCATTTGCTGCCTTTGCTTCAGGCTTGTAGGATGACACCAATTACTATCTTTTCTTTTTTTTTTTTTTCCTGGAAAAATAGAAAGAATACTTTTTTTCAGGTATGTGTATTTATTGGGCAACTCTTTTTTTTTTTTTTTTTTTTTTTTTCTCTTTTTTAGACTTCATTGCACCTTTTATGATGCATGCTTAGCTTAAGTTTGTTGAATACAAACCAACAAAGCCATGAGCTGTACTGGTAAGAGTACCTCCTGGATGGATGGAGCGTGCTTTTCCCTGGCCACTTCCAATTCCAGTACCATACTGGGTAGTATGTATAACCAAAGTTAGTCAACCATATGGCATCTATTCATGACACACATTAAATAAGCTCCAGGTGAGATGACTGCTTCCATACATGCACAGATTCTGAAGTTTTAGTGCTTGCAGTAGAGGGTTATTGATTTGAGGCTGCTGATTATCTTCAGGTAGGTGTTTCTACTAGGTTGGGAGAAAGGATTTAAAGGAAGAGACGAGAATGTGTGCTTGTACAGAAGTAGCCTGCTGTTACTGATAAGCGGTCTCAGAGCAAATGCATGTAAGAACTCTGTTTCCTGAATTATCAGTTTAACTTTCCCACAACTAAAATTCCATTTCTAATAGTTTAAACAGGAGGGGACAAAAGGCAGCGTGGCTTCTGCACTCAGAGTGTTGGTGTTCTAGCTGTGTGCAGAGCTTGCTTACAGTCAGGAGGTGCAGGGGGAGAGAGGGTAGTGCTCAATCACATGATATTGCCTGTCTGGCAGGTGTCTGTAGTGTGAGTAGAGAAACCAACTGTTCACTATTTTGGGTGAATGAGGTTGGCTGTTACTGCAAGTGGCCCCACGGAGAAGTCCACGCATCTGTTGATAAGCACTGCTCTGCCTACTGGGATCCTGAATGCTTATAGCTGCTTGCTGAAACACTGAAGTTTCTGTCTGAGCTTTGAGATAGTGGGAAGAAAAGTTTTGCCAAGAGCCTTGCTGATTTTAATCTTTAGATGTTGGCTGTCAGGATTTGTCTGTGCCTTGAGTACGTCTCTGTTCCTATGCAAGCACAGCCTTGGAATCTAGCAGTAAACTAATTTTTTTTCCACTGTCCCGCTTTGGTGCAGTGACCGAAACCTGGTGGAGAGGGATTGCGGTTGGGTCTCTTGTGAGGATTAAGCACCCCTTCCACTAGCCTGGGACACCTCCTCTGTTACAGAATCTGCCTTCAGGTCCAGGGATTTCCTCTAATATGTTGGATAAAGCCAAGACACTCCAGCCTGCCTATGTCGGGATTGTGCCGCTTGCAGAGACTGTGTCAAAGCAAGGGAAGAGCTGTTCAAGCACATACCAGGATTCATACTACAGCTTACGAGAAGGTTAGCAGGCTCTGCTTTCTTTGTTGTAGGCACTGTATAATTGGTTTGTGGGTTGGGTTTTTTTTTCCTTCCTTTCTTTTTTTTTTTTTTTTTCTCTTGCATATTGAATCTGCCTGCTTTTTCTTTTCTGGGCAGTAGTCCAGATTTTGGGTTTCCCACTGACTCTTGTGACCTGTTGTCCCTGAGGGCGCTCATAAGCATGTCACAGGACAAGGTTGGAGCTCTGTATGTAGTGACTTGCAGCACTTGGACCTTGAGACAATTTCACTTGCATTTGGAAGTTTTAATTTCAGAGTTTAAATTTCTTTCTCTATCTCTATAGGGCTCTTGTGAGCAATGTTTTAAGGCTGTTTTATTAAAGGTGTAAAGGCTTGTTCTGGAGTGGCAACTCTGCTTTGAAGGAGATAGAGTATCACGTTTTAAGTTTCGGTATGTTGCTGTTTGAAGAGTGTGGAAGGAGTGGGGTCTGTGTATCTAAATGTGATTCTATTTTAGATAATGGTATTCTCCTGCAAATATATCTGATTTTTTAGGGGGGTTTGACAATTCTGAAAGGTTATGTAGACAGGTGGAGGTCAAATTTCAGGGAGTGATATCTGCGAGGAAACAAGAAGATCTGCAGGGATTGAGAAAAGTTTGAGAAGATGAAAGGAGACAGTGATCCATTCATAGTGTGTAACATAATAAATAGCAACAAACAGGAACCAGGAAAAGATTACAGGGAAGAATGGCAGAACATAACAAAATGCCAATGGTAAACATACCAAGATTTATGTTTTATCAGAAATACTGGATCCATCTGGCTGCAGGTGAAATTGTAATAGGAACTTGCAGGAGTGAACAAAGATCTTGAACACAGTGGCCTCAGAAATAAGGCGATGACTGATTTTCAGAGCGAGTAATGTGATCTGAGAGGAGCAGAAAATTATTTTCCGTGACATTTTGGACACAAAAGTAAAGGAAAGGGTGGTAGGAGTTGAGGACAAAAAGCCAGATAGAATAAGGCCATGTTTGTTGTGGAAAGATGGCCAGTGCGTGGAAGACAATTTTAGCAGTTGCATTTAGAGGCTTTTTCTCTCATATGCAACTCCAGGCCTGCTGAGTCTGCCAAACAAAACTGTTAAGTTTCTATCCCCTACTGTCACTCCCCTTACCAAGCCTCTTTAACAGATATCAAGAGTTATCTTGTTATTAGGTTTTAAAAATATTACTATTTTTGTTGCTTGTTTTCATTGGAATACTCTTTGTCGAACAAATACAGAGAAGGAAAAGAAAACTGAAGTCACAGTCCTCAAATTCAAGTTTGGGAGTCATAAATCCATTAGTATAGGCAGTATTCCAAGAATACTTTGTCTGCTCTGAAGGCAAAGAACTACAGCACATCAATCTTCAGAGCAAAAAACCAAACCAAAATAAAAAAAGCCAGAACTTGCAGCTGTCTGGTATTTGCAAGGCGTTGATTTTTACAGAAGGTGAGCACTCTGCATTTGGATGTGCCAGGATAGATCTTTCATCCAGTCACTAAATATCACAAGCTCTACAGTAGGAAACACGTTGAATGAAGAAAATGCAGTTCTGTAGTACTTTAATCAATATAAAAATGTTTGCTGCTCTCTCAAGTTGAAGTGAATTAAGGTCATTGAATTCTTGTATAATTCTGATTATCGAAAAAGCTCTGTTGACTCTGCAAAATCTAGCAATATCATCAGCCTACCCCATGTCTAATTCACGATACTCAAATATCATATGTGATGAGGAAAGCTACTTTGTACCAGCTACCAAACAGGAAGGATAGGGAAGAGAAATAGATGCTTCCAGCTGCTTTTGTGTCAGAAGAGAAAGGAGTAACTCTTTAGCTTTGTTGCTGCTCCATTCAAGTCTCCTGCAGTGTTGGGATGCCTGTTGTATTTATGCTGTAGCCTGCACTGTATTTTACAGAGCCAAATTGTACAGGCAGTGGAGAAGCAGATGCACTTACATGTAAACCCTTATTGAAGCTCTGGAAGTCCAGAATTAGCATTGAGCTGAAAGTATAACGACTCTTGTACCTCAGTTTTGGTCCCCCTAAAAATGGGACGGCTTAGTTTTGTTATTACCCAGGACAGAAAATTCATGCACTTTTCTTCCTCAGTCTTTACCACACACAGATGAATGGATGCCACTCTGCTTTGTCCTCTTTATAAAGCCAGGCAAATAAGAGGTGTGTGTATTATAGTAACAATGCTTATACCTATTCTCTTAATGAATCTCATGAGAAGCGGCTATCTGAAATAGAATTCATCTTGTTTCCTTGCCTCTGGAAAAAAGACGGTCTCCTAAATCTGATTTATTTATTTTTTTGAATTAGGTCTTGACATTGAAGTTTGGGAACTGCTGATCGTTTCTACCCAGAAATGTATTTGACATGGGGAAGTAAAAGAACATACGCTTCTATTTTTCAGAGTATGTGTTGGGGCAGTTATTTGTAAAATTCCTAGAATTTGGGAATCCATAAACATGTTTTCTGTTCAAGAATGCCTTGGAATGATTTAGTTTTCAAATACCAGAGCCCAGTTTGCAGTTCCTGGGCTAGTTAACGCAACAGTATGGTAGCCCCTCATGAAAGATATGAAGAGGGAATTGCAAGTTTTCTAATTTCAGAAAGCTACTCAAAAACCGATTAGCATTCATGTGAGTCTGGCTTAGAATTAAGTACTTCCAAAAGTAAATCACAACTTTTCCACTTCTGTGCAATGTCTTTCATTCGTTGCTCTTAAACTAAATACTTATTTCGGCAAGTTCTCCCTTCAAAAATGTTCAATGTGACTTGGGTGCTGACAGTGAAACTCACCTGTCTTTTTCCAAGATTTGTGTGTCGGGGCCCAGACACATGAACAAGTTTCTGCATGCCATCTGATCTGCGGTAACTGTGTGAGCATTCTTGGTCCACAGCAAATGTGAGGTAATTTGAGTTAGCTTAGCCTTCGATTAAACTATTAATATCTGTTTAGTACTTTGAAGAGATCAGGAGTCATGCAAGTACTTGTTAACATATGGCTTTCTTCAGGAGTGATCGACCTTATTGTCATAACACCTCCGGGCACTTGAAGGTAAAGCTGGTCAGTGGCTGTACCTCATTCCAGTAGAGGGCAGAAGAACCTGCACAGACTTGAAAGCTATCAACACCAAGGAGATCCCCAGCAAGAGGGCAGCTGATGCATCTGAGGCATCTCACAGGAATACAGGGTGACATTTTTCTGTAAAGGTTGATCTCCATTTTCCTAGTTCGGAGTGGACCTGAAGATGCTGTGGGAGATGTGAAAGCAATGCCTCGTGCAAACGCATGGATAAGGAACATCAGAAACCAGTCACATAATGCAACAGACACATCTCTGAATTATGGCCAGATACATCCCACAATTCAGAATTATTTATGCAAATAGTGCTCTGGCACAGAAGAAACTTAAAAAATGTGTTGAATGTATGGGGAGATAACCTCTTGTCATTTCTTACAGCAAATCCAGGGGCACATCAAAAGTATGTAGTTAGACTCCCTGTAGTCTTGTGCTGCAACCACTCTTTGCAAATGGGTAGCACAGTGACTGTGATTATGCTTAAAAGGCGAGAGGTGCAGTGAAGGTAACATAATGGTGTATAAATGTGAGGTGGCTCAAAGCTGGCAGTAAGATGACAATTTAAATTTATTTTTGCTTAATTCCCAGTGTGCCTCATTTGACTGTGAAGACTTAGAGGTGTTTCAGGGTATTTGTTAAGTTTATAACGCGAGTGGGAAGCTTAGGGAAAGGGTTAACACTGAATGACCAGGGTTTTTATAAGTCAGTCGTTATCAGTGGAAGCAGAGCCAGCATTATCCCTGGAGTTGAATTCACATATTTTTTCAGTCCTGCTGCCCTAATGTGTTTTCGGTTTTTTTGGATATGACATGTTTTCCCCTCTTGGAGTTTACTGAACTATTCCTGTCAGTGTAATGATCCCCAGCTGTTGCTTTAGCCTTAGCTATTTTCATGCTGGGAATGGGAGGAGGAGGAGGAGAGGAACAGAGGCTAGCTTGTTTACCACACAGTGATCTACTTCATTTGTCAAAAAATGGCTACTATAATACTTTCTTTAGCACAAAGTACTAAAAGGAAAAAGTTGTAGACTCGGACCTGCAAGAGCAAGGAAATGTAAGGACTCAACGCATGCAGAAAACAAAAAGAATAGAAACTGGGTGTGGTGCAATGAGTGCAGCTGTCAGTAGCATTTATGCAGACAATGCTTTGAACTAGTCATGGTACCAAGTAAATTTGCACTAAGTACTTTCCTGCCCTATCAACTTAATTTTCTTCACAGTTAAACTGAGCTTTATGTTCAATGGCAGTGATGCTGGGGTATTGATAATCCCAGCAACTGGGAAACGCATTAATAAAGCTTGAAAAAATTTGCGTGGCTTTCAAATTATTCATTATTTGATAATTATTTGTTGCTTATTTTCTGTAGAAAATATCTGTATATATACTTTTAAACAGCAAATGACTGATGCTTAGACTTCCTGGGAGGTATTGAAAAGCAGATGCTTTTTTGAAAACAGAACCATGATACTTAAGCCCAGATTGCTCCTTTGCATCCAGAAACAACTTCTGCTGTTAATATGCCTGTTAAAAGCCCTTGCCAGACAGATGTCACCGTGACTCTCCTGTGACAGTCCTGGTTTCTGCTTGTGTTTTTGGATCCACGTCAGGCTGCCTGAGTAAATCTTATCTCAGTACTTTTATCTATAAGATCTGTCACTAGTCACCTCAGATTTTTCAGCGTTCTGTCACACCTGCAAGTGCGATCAACAACTTAACAAATATCTATACCAAAATTAAGTGCCTGCTTAGGTCTTTCCTTTCGTGCCTCAACTCCCATCTATCCAGTCTTTTCTGAGCATTGAATTACTGATCTTGTCACCTGCTGCATCAATAAATTTCCATCCAAAATGTTAAAGCAGCACATTTCTTGGCAAGAACCTCTGCAGC